TTGCAACTCAGCTTCATGTCAGTTTTTTACTTTCAGTGTCATATTATAAATTTCTTCTGGACCTAAAGTTCACTACACTTTTTATGGAATTTTTCATTTCGTAAGCAGTTTTATATCCCCTCCGTCTCATAAAAATGAATACGCTTTGACTAAAGTAGAAATTAAGGAAGAGATAATTTTGTGTTGACTTTCTAAAAATACTCTTATGTGATGGGTAGAAGTATGATGTGATGTGTAAATTTATTAGAAAAAAGGTATGATGTGATAGGTAGGGTTTGAAAAAGTAAGGGGTAAAAGTAGTTTTTTAATAGAAATGAGAAAAGGATTGTGGAACACAATTTTTTTGAAATGTGTAAATCTTTTTGGGACGGAGGGAGTATTATTTTTGTTTTTGAAAAAATTAATTCCTTCTTGAAAGCGGGGGCTCCCATGACAATGTTTGACAATGTCATGGGATGATCCGAGAGTGTTCCGGTACCCCATTCGTAAAATTCACAATTTCACCCTCTATAATCCTAGGTAACTCCCTCACCCCGCCTCGACACGAACACACATCCACTCCTTTCAATTGTACCCCCAAGTTAATTTTAACTCTAAAATCAAAATTAACTTGTAGTGCAATTGAAGATGGTGAGGGGATGCGTTCGGGCCGGGACAGAGTGGAAGAGTTTACGAGGGAATTAGAAGAGCATGAGCAAGACACCGAAGTCCTCTCGAATCATTTTATTATATGAGATTCTAATGTCATGAGAGCGTTTCAGTCTTGATACTTGTACGAGAAAGAAGCAAATTAAAGTCGAATGAAAGGCAAGCAATAATAATTGGAAGGAAGAGANCAGTTCTGAATCCTGATTGATTCTACTACTACAATGCATTAAGGTACACCATCCCATAGGTGGGGCTATGGGTATCTTTAGGTGTGACCTGCGCGAGGAGCAATGCACCATGCATGTTCTGCCCATGTGCCCAACATTTCTTCCATTAAACATTAAATTGAACCTTAAAAGTTTTAATTTGATTGATCGTGTCCGGAACCCACTTGTGTTACATGAGTTATGTTTGTTTTGGGGTTATTTAACATGATTAAGCTTCTTATTGGCACCTCTAACGTAACGCTCATTTCTCATGTTCATATACCAAATGTAAAAAATAATGTCAAGTGCCCAAAAAATAATGTCAAATGTTAAAAATAATGGCAATTTGTGTTTTACAATGTCAATTGTCAACCACTACATGTCAAAATAATATCAAACCCATTGTTAAATTCTCCCACCGTCCAAAATTTATCTTGTTGTTACGCGTTACGATTTTGACTGAAATTATTTTTTAAATTATTTTATACCGCGTATGAAATTTGGTGTATGATTAAAAAATAAAAAATACATATTTAAAAACTTCAAGACCTACAAAACTAAAAAGATAAGATTATATTATTTGTTAGACAATAATACTAATATTACTTCTTGTAGTATTGTTTATGGTAGTGTTTCATTATTAGTCAGCTTCCTAATCCTATTTGTGGTAGATGTTGTATGTTAGTTAATTTCCATTCTCTATTTCTAGTTGTGTTAGGAGTCTCTCATATATATACTCTACCATGTACTTCATAATTCAAGAAGCAATATTATTATTCCAATATTCCAACAATTTTATTCAAATAAGCAACAAAAATAAACTAAAAAGTAAATAATGTTTACCATTTAAAAATAGTGAAGAAGATGTTAATTTTTGGATAGGAGTATAAAAAACAATGTCACGTTGTTTTTTGCAGAGCCAATGTCCTTGTAACAAGGAATAGAATTAAAATAAATGGCTGTAATTTATGATAACTGGTAAAAGTGGCAAATTCAATCGTCGGAATGTATCTAGCTGTTTTCTTGCGCATCTAATGTGTACTATGAAACTCATAAATTTACATACCTTAATTTTATAATGTACCTCCTTCGTCTAAAAATAATTTTCTCATTTACATTTTCGTTTCGATGTTCTTCCCATTTTTTAAGCCTCCTTTTTAAGGATAAATATACATAATGATCGTGTTTGGGAACAAAATTATTTTTTAGTAGCGTTAGTGTAGAATTTTGGAATTGAATGACTTGCTTTCATTGATACAATCAACACGTATAAATACAAGAAGAGTTTCCAAAACACTTAAGTAAATACAATTCTACAAGGAAACTAATTAATATAGAATATTTACAAAAATATATTCTAATACTCCTTCTCAAGTTATAACATGTAGATCGAGAATGCCCAGCTTAGATAGAAGATATCGGAAAAGTGGAGCAAAAAATATCTACAATTTGGAGATGAGTGGGAACGTATGTCGTGATAACCTGCTACATAGAAGACATTCACGAACAATGTGGCAATCAATATCGATATGTTTGGAACGCTCATGAAACACCATATTGGCAGCAATGAATAAAACAAACTTATTGTCAAAGTTTAGTTTCAGAGTGGAGACGCACGGCACGGGCAGGGCAGCAAGTAATCCGCGGATCCACTGAAGTTCAGCACACGCATTAGCCATAGCACAATATTCTGCTTCAGCCGACGAACAAGACACAATTATTTGTTTCTTTGAACACCACAAAATCAGCGATTCTCTTAGAAGGATGAAATAATCGGTAACAGATCTCCGTGTAATAGGATAACTGCCCAGTCTGAATTAGAGTAAGCGGTGAGAGCTAAATTCTTGTCACTTCGGAGAAGAATACCTTGACCAGGGTGTCCTTTAAGATAACGTAGAACACGCAAGACAACATTAAGATTATCGAGACGAGGATCCTGCATAAGCTATTTCACAAAATGCATGTGTGAATAAAAAAAAAGTTTAGTTGTTATTGTAAAAAGAAAAGTTAAGTTGCAAGAAAAATCACTTTAGGAATTGAAGAAACAGAATAAGAAATGTTTCATTTACAATTGTAAATCTATTTATAAATTAGATTTTTAAAACTGAACTAAGTTCTTAGGACTGAAATTAGAAATAAAACAAAAAATAGATCAATTTTTAAAACAAATTGAAGATGAAAAAAACAGAAAACAGAACAGATTAATTCTTAAAGAACTAAAAATAAAAAAATACTCTCTTAATTAAAGATGCAGCCTGCAAATGAAAAAACATTATTAGCACTCCTAAAAATGAACTAAAGAGTGAAGAATCAAAAAGCAGGTCTATATTACTCATGGGTTGTGCACATGCCGAGAAGGAAGTGTTATGAACTCATGGGCTTAATTGAATTAAAATAGGCCCCTTAGATTTGGAGGCCCTGTGCAAATGCACTCCTTGCACTCCCTATTAGGCGGGCTTGAGAAGTAGTCTGCAATGTCCTACTTTGTTTGGAACTTGCAAGGGTATAATAGAAATGATATTTTCCCTCTTCAATTCGCCATATCAAAATCTTAGACTCAAATCTTTTTTCCATCATTAATTTTTAATCCAATTTTTTCTCTTTCAAATCACTAATTCTAATTATCAATCTCTCTTCTCTTTCTTTTCTTTTGAACGAATAATAATCCATAGTAAATTAGCACCAAAGTAAGCCAAGAGGGGAAGTAAATTAGTCTCTCTTATGTATATTCTATCATGTACTCCATAATTTAAGGAGCAATATTATTATTTTAATATTTCAACAACTCAGTAGACAATTCTTATTCGTGTGTATGACTATGCAAAACTTTAGTGTCAATGTTAACTTTTAGAGTGAATTTTTTTCTTCAATCAAACACCATAACTACACAAGTGTGAGCTAGGTCACATAAAGTGAAAGTGCATTCTTAAATATGAAAAAAGTATAGGCACATGTAAATCTTGAAGCGTCAATTAAAAAAATAAATTACGGAGTACATATATATGTTTGTCTATATGTATACTTCAAAAGTACTCATATTTTTAAAATATTATTAATGCTCGTTTTGAATAATATATCATTTACAAAATTATATTCTTGAACTAAAAATTCTTTTTCTTGAACTTAATGACTGATCATATACGAAGTACTACGTATAATCTAAAACATAAAGACATACAGAGTATGTCGTACGGCAAGAGTTTGAAGCTATTAGATTCTTAGACATTTACATAACAAAATGGAGATAATTTTACACACACACAGATATATATATTGATATGATAATAGTTTTACTAGATTTATTATATAAAATATTTTTAAAATAATATTTTATCTAATTAATATTTAATATATGTTTTATTTAGTTATAGGTCAAAAGTTGAAAATAGTTTACTGAAAGAAGTCAAAACTGAACAAATACTTTGGGATGAAGGTAGTAAATAATAGGAATATGTTGAAGAGCACATGCTTTTAAAGTATAAGTAATTTGAAATTGGAAATATTTACATGAATACTCCAATTCTCCAAAAAATATTGATTTTACGTTAATTCTATAAAATTAAATAATTTATATCATTGCTCCTAAAAATTGCTTAATTTTATGCTAATACTCCGGATTGTCAACTAAGCAGAATACATGACATTTTCAATGATGACTATAAATTATTAGGTATGTTTTGTTAACTATGGAATGATAAAAAATAAAGAAAAATAATTTTTCAAACAAAATAAAGAATAATTTTGAAGTACACATTTCATAAATAAATTTATATTCGTTGGAAAGATCTTTAAAATATAAATTATGGACTATTCCAAGTTTAAAATTTTCAAATTTTTATCTGAAACACTATCCATAATTTATCTTATTAAAATATAAATATTTTATTTTTTAATTTTAACATATCTATTATATATATAAAAGAAGGATGCAAATTGAGAATCCAATTTCTCCCCCTAAATCAGAGATCTACGGCCCAATTTTTCTATAAAAATAACCGAACAAATCATGACCACACATTACATCAACAGCCCAATTTCAATTGGGCACACTAATTGATAGATCTAAGCCATTGATTTTTTTTATCAATGGCTACATCAAGGAGACTTGTAACCGCAGCCTATCCGGATACGGCGATTCATGCGGAAACTTGCAAAAAATCTGCCATGCCTGCGAAAAATTCCTCCCATGCCCAGATTCTTGAGGAACGCTTACTTAGTCGCTCCTTTCATCCGGATAAAGTAGTCGCTAGGAGAGGAGGAGAACCTACCGGCAACCACCCAACCAGCAGCCATGTGCAAAGATACGCCTGGAGAAATTGACTGTCTTAGGTTCGTTTTTCTGACTCCGTGTTTCATAGCCTCAATTTCAAACCCTAATGCTTTTGGAAGTTATTAATGTTGTGACATAGGAATTCATATAACTATTGCTGCTTGTGCATTTTTTGCTAGAAACGTTACATTTCATAGAGTTCTAAATCATCCCTTTCTATATTTTTCAGTTTTTTCCCGCTCAATAAGATTCAATTTTTACAAAGAAATTTACAAGCTTATGTTGCAATTAGATTTGACACCGAGTTTTCTCTTTTTAATGTAATGTCATCAAGCCGATAAATTGACCACAAAGCCCTAATCTTGTAGCATGTTTTGCAGGAAGACTTCTCTGAATTCTCACGTTTCTATGATTTTGTATTCTTTCCTATGCTGAGAAAATTGTCAAAAGAACATTTGGAAGTTCATTTAATATTTTAATACTTTGATGATTCATAAGTTGCAGTATAAACTGTGTAAACGTATCTTATATAATGCTACGGGATACATTTTTTCTTAATGTTATCCACTTAGCCGTGAGAACTGAGAAAGGCTGTAACATTTGATGATTCATAAGTTACATTTTTTCTTAATGTTAGGGCTGCATTAGTATGATTAAAAAAGAGATGCTTTGATGAATTAGAGTACATACAACTTTTGCACTATTACATATTAGTTTTTTCAACTCTTATTTTAAAGATTAAAACATGGAGCTCTTATTCTGATACTTTCTCTATGTTTTACTCTTATTTAGGGTGATTTCTTAATAAAAAATATACTATGTATGCTTGTATGTGCATATTGTGAATCGTTCACTGCACTTCATTGACAGAAAAATCAGCAACATAACAGGAGTGTGGTCTCTCTTGATTGATGAATTTGCTGAGCACATCTATAGGTTTGTGATGAATATTAAGATGTTATATAGTTTCATGAGCTAAGTTCTTTTTGCAGCAATGGTGAATTCATAATATGACACCGGTGTAGGGTGACCCCAAAGTGGTTCCTAGCCCTAAAACACACAAACCCCGAAGTGGATGTTAAAAGAGCCTCAATATAGTATCATACGGAGTATATCCATAATAAAAGAGTAAAAGTTGATACTATGCGTATTCCCATGCTAATGATTTTGAACAAATGACAGAAAAGCATAAAACACCATTCTGCACATTAACCACCCAATTGTCGTCTTTTACTTTCATTTCCCGTGACTGAAGATTTGGGTTATATTAGGCCACACCAACAAAGAAGGTTCAACCATCTGTGCCTGTAGTTGGCTTCTGTATTGTTGTGGTTATTGAGGTGTTGGGCTCCCTAATGACTATTGACAGTGATGTTGTGAAGAAAATTCTACCATATGTTTCTTCTAGACTTCAACATCATGGTAAGTATCTTTTGATGGTCCATGATGGAAAGACCTTTCTACTTAGGAACCCGAGCTTGTAATGCCATCAAAGCATTGTTTTCTCTGTATCCAATTGATTGGGCAACCTCCAATCTAATTTTCACATCAATCTAACAGTCCAATTTCATCTCAAACGCCAATCAGATGATCCAATTTTATAGGCATTACAAAATCTGATTGTCAAATCCAAAGCCACGTTCCACATATTTGACGAAAGAAGTTGTAGTTTCAATATCTTCGTTCTCGAGACGAGCCTAGGGTTTCCATCTTCACCCTGGGAACATCGATCTCAAATAAGCAAGAAAGATGCATCACTTCTCTCCATACCTTCAATGTAAGCAACCGTGAATCTACCAAGATCCATTTCAAGAGAAACAAAGTATCTGGTCAACTCGAAATATGGAACGGAGAAGAAGATAAAATAAAAGGCTATGATTAGATCGTGCTCCAAGTCCGATGCTTGGGCATCGCCGTGGGAACAGAAAAATCGGTAACTCCATCTTTTTCTCTAAAACTTTTTTTTTTCGTTTCTAAAATTTTCGTTTTGTGTCTCAAAATTTAAAAACAGTTTACTTTAAATTTGAAATTTTTAAAAGATTTGCTTTGTTGAAGAGCCGAGATTCCTTCAAATTTGATCGATCAAATTCTACTTTACAAAACGTGATTTGATATTTTGATGTTAACCTCACACCAAATAAAACTAAAGTGTGTTGCATGTTTACTGTTTGAACTATATATATGTTTATTATTTTAAGATTTCTAATTACTCAAATGTAGTGCTTATTGGCCTCATTTCTCAATGCTGATTGATGCCATCAGGGAGAATATTCACATTATTGTGCTTAAAATGGTAATATTGGGTGCTTAGTGCAAACCAATAATATAGTGTAGAATTTCACTCTAAACAAATAATAGTGAAAGTCTTTCTCATTGTTATCTTTGTCGTGCCTTTTGAATTTTAAGTTTAAATCCAAGGTTGGGACATTTTGATGTACAAGGGCACCTTTTGATTTGCTCCGGTCAGATTTGATGTCATCCATGATTTTATTTTAAAATCTTTTTATCTAATGAATAAATGATAACAATGTGAAAATGTCGGGAAAGAACCCTCTTAATTCCATGTTTTAATATGCCCTCTTAATTCCATGTTTTAATATGTCATTTGCAACCTCATTTAGCAAATTCTTTTCTTCAAGATATTTTGCTTATTTTATTTTCACATGTCTATTTTTCCATAGGTGCACTGCTGAGTACCTTCCAAATTTGAAAGTCATACTTGCAACTCAGGTTAGCTTCCTCTTTTTTTTGATAGTGTGAATGTGTTCTCATTAAATTGCACTTTTACAGCTTTAGTCGTAAATAGAATTACAATTCAATAATTTTAAGAATTCACCCTTTGATTCCTTGATGATAGATTAACGATGTAGTTTCATCCCTTGAAAGAATTTATTTTTAGTATATTAACACTAATATCTTAACATTTTACCAGTAATAGTTTATAATTTAGTCGTTCATACTATAATAGTGAAAAGTATTTATTTGGCAGTTGTTTGATATGTCAACAATTCTTGATCCTGGTTATGTAATATCTTTGATACGAAAATTTCTACAAATAGACAACAAAGATATATGGACTCCAAGGGTTAGATGTTGTCTGTTGTGGAAGTACCAAGAAGGGGTTGGCAGCAAGAAAAGAGGCTTGGAAAGAGTGCGATTGTATTTTATGGGATCTTGCACGAAGTAAACCTCATGCTGAATTCATGGTGCTTGATTTTTCTTCTTTTTTTTCATTTTCTGTATCTTAACACTATGTTGGTTCTTGGTTGAATTTTTTTGGGAGTAGTGGGTTAGCCCTGTTTTCATGGTAAAGTATCGAGATACGAAAGTTTGTAGTTAATCCAGTGCGTGCTTCATTTTTTTATTTGCTCATGTGACACTATGAACATAGAATCAAATATATCCTATGGTTCTCTTAAATTATATTGTCTTTGGCATTTGATAGACCAAAGTTGAGAGCAAAAGTTTGTACATATCATTCAATTTAAAAATATTTTTATTTTTTTATTTTATATTATTATAGGAGTTATTATTTGCAGTAAAGTTGTTTATAACTAAAATAAAAAACTCACATTACACATTTAAAAAATTTACCAAAAATGACTTAGTTTTTTTCTTAATATTAGTATTTTAAAAGTTGGTAGAACCCGTGCATCGCACGGGTAAAATACTAGTTTTTACTTTAAATCGACATGGATGAGTGGAATTATAATGCATTCAAGGTTTTTTTCTTTATTTTTGTAATTAATTATCAACTCATACTTAATAATTATCAAATCACGACTTTAAATGCGACTTATTCTTCTTAATTGACAGCCTGAAGTATTGATATAAAATTAAACAATTTCTGAAGACATTAGTGTAAGTTATTCAATTTTCAGAATAGTAACGTAAAATAAAAAATTTTCTTAGATTACTCATATCAATATTTCCTTTGAAATTTGCATATATCCAATTGAAAAATGGGCCGTTGACAAAAGATCCGTTTCAGCCAAAATGGCCTACTTTGACTCTTATCATCATTTCACTAGAATCCATATCTCCACATCCTTATCATCGTTCTGAAATGTCCTATTGCAGCCTGCCTCGTTATCAGAGCCCAATTCGTCTCCCCCACACGTCATCGATCCTCGTGTTCCCAACAGCCATCGCTCCACAGCCGTCGCTTACGACCCTCCAAACCAATCTCCGCCGTTCATTCTACCCAGTCTTTTTTCTTCTTCTTCCAGCTGACACTGCTATATCGTGTGGGGACTCCACAAAAAGCCTTCGTCTTCGTCTTCCTCTCTGAGCGTTCTGTCATTCTCTCTTTCTGTCTCTCCCTCTCTCTATGAGCTACGATTTCTTGTCCATGGCGTCTGAGCCGATCAACAAGCATCCTTCCAACTTTGACTACCCTCAGGTATTTATTTTATACACAGACGAATTCTTGTGTTTTCATGTCTTCTCGTACCCATTTAGCTGGATTTTATCTCTCTCTGTTACGTTCTCTCTCAGATTTCACAGACAAACCATTGCTATCGCTTGTTTTTCCCCAGATTTCTTGTTTCCATGCTAAAGATGCAATCTTTTTGGATATTTTGTCAAACCCTATTTCGACCCCCACATCCCAATTTCGAATTTACCCAAGAAACTCAGACCTTGATGAAATGCAGATGTCTTTGATCTAGTGGATTGTCGATTTCACTTGTGCCAAAAAAACAAACAGATGAGATAATCACTTTTATGTTTTTTTTTTTGTGTGTAAGTTTGGATTCTAGAGTAATGTTAAATTGGTAATCTTTTTTAATATATACTGAAATTGTCTTAAAATATAAGAAGTAATCAGTTATTGCAGAGTAAGTTGTAAACAATGTTGTATAATTGTCATGATTTGTGAACAAGAAAATCTTTCTAAGATCTCATGTAGATTTTTGGTTTGGTTTGGTTTGGTTTGTTACTCTTTTGTGTTTGTTTCAGGCTATAATTGAAGCTCTGGATGCATTGAAGCAAGAAGAAGGGTCAAACAAGACAGCAATAGCAAAATACATAGAAACAAAGTATGGGGAAATGAGTGGCGGGGACTCAAAGCTGCTGGTTTACCACCTGGACAGAATGAAGCAGAGCGGCGAGCTCATCTTCTTGAAGAACAATTACATAAAGGCAGGCCCGGGTGTCCCTCCCAAGCGGGGCAGGGGCCGCCCAAGGAAAGACCCCAATGCCCCACCAGCCCCCAAGAAGCCTAAACCTCTTGCTCCTCCTCCCATCCCTTCCAAAACGGGCAGGCCCAGGGGCAGGCCAAGGAAGGTGAAGCCCCCACAGGACAATGGGGTTGAAATGAGCTGAACTTTGAAGGTCATTTGATGTGTTCTCCCTTGGTTATGATTACCAGCATGTAGTACTTGAATTAATTGTAGGATTGTTTGTATGTTTGTGTGTCTTAGACTAAGCATTGTAGGCTAATGTGCCCCTTTAATTGTAGGAGAATGTTATGTGTGTCCTAATGTTTGATTCTCCCTGTAATGAAATGATGGTGACATACTGTCTTCTGTAATCTACTGTGGAGTATAATTTGATGCCCATTTTCGTAATCTTTTTCCTTTAAGTATATTTAGTGGATTCAAACATTTCAGTCATTTCAAAGGATAGGATTGCTGGTATTGGTACTGTTGCATTCAAGAAAATTTAGCTTCTTGAGTGGGTGAGCTATTTTGACGTTCTGGGCGTAGCTCAGCTGGTCAAAGGAGGCAAAGGGGGTAATATTTGACTTTGATTCCCAGGCGAGTTAACTCTCTGTGCGAGTATTGAGGAAGTTCAGGGGATGAAGTCCAAACTTTAGTTTTTGTTTTTGGCAAGAAAAGATGACAGAAGGGTAAAACTGATTATTGATGATAGCTTTGTTTCTTAGCTTGGACAAATTAAAACCAAGCATTGCCTGCACAATGAATAGCGAGTACATTGTTTTGTTGTGAACTTGTGATGCCTTTTTGTTTGTTACTACCTCCGTCCCGGAGTATTCGTCTACTTTTGACTTTTGAAACTGTTCATCTAAGCACTTTGACTCATCAAATTCTCTCAATGTATAAGTCTAAATATAGGCATGTGTGATCTTGTTTGATTTGTCTTAACATATAGATTATTAATATATAATTTCTATAATTTTTTAATATACAAATTACAAGATAAAATGGATTAAAGAAGTGTATTGAATGGTGTGTAAAAATAAAAGTGGACAAATACTCTGGGACGGAGGGAGTACAAATTTAAAAACAATGTCTTGGTCAAGGTGGCTAAGGTCAATCCAATATGAATTTGAGGGTTCGTTTAATTTGCTGAGTTTTGAAAATATGATATGATTTGATTTTTATAATTTGGAAGAAATGATATAGGGTATATATGCCTCAAAGATAGGTGTTTTGGAAGATTTGAAATCATGAATCTCTTAGAGGTAGATCGACAACAGGGGTGGATGACAATGACAATTATAGCGGGCGATAGGTGATTGAGAGCTCAGAGAGAAATTGAAACTCCATATTCGTATCTCCCAAATTAAGATATCAAAACTCTCAGTTTGAAGATAGTACAAAATCTTGACATATAAAATCAAAAATTTTTATGCTTCACCAAATATCCAAAAAGAAATTCTGATATCTAGGTATATCAAAATTTATATCTCCTATGCTCATTGAACATAGTGTAAATTATGAATTATGGAAGAGTGGAAGACACTTCAATGAATAATACAGTATGGGAGCCTTTATGTGCATATTGACTTCCTCTCATAGTCCCAAGATTATTTTAATATTTAACTTGACATAATTTTTGATAAAGTGAAATATAAGTTATTGTGATTTGTGTGGATGAGAGATAATTAATATAGACCAAATATTTGTTTTCATTCCAAGAAATAGAATTTTTTTTGAGACAATCCAAATAGAAAGAAAAAAGATAATTATGGGATATGTCAAATAACGATACCCCATGTGGTTTGAAAAATATGCATCACATGGGACATTAGTGACTACTTTCCAAACGTGGTTTAAAAATGTGGTTTTCAAAACATTTTTCTTAAGTCTATGTGGTTTCAAAATATTGTACTCATACCTCCTTTATCATTTTTCGGATGAAAAAGGGACATTAGTGCATACTTTACAAACTACGTGGTGCACTAGTCTTGAATTTTTTTGTCCCCCCTCCCCCTTTTTTTATATGTTTCTTTTATTAATTAAGGTTTTTAATTTTTTTTTTCAATTTTTTTATACTTTTCTTAAAATTTAAAACTATTTTTGTTTGAAAAAAAACATATCTATACGTCTCAAATTAACACTTTTTATTTTTTGTTCTCTGAAATAAAAAAGTAATAACTTCTTTTTTGAGAAATTCAAAAAATAAGGAATTAAATAAGAAATATAATAAAACAAAAAAATGAATATCTTTTTTGGACATCCCAATTTTAAGGACTTGTTAGGCACTCTGAAAATTCCTTTTTGTCTAAGACTATGTTTTGGATGTTTCAATTTTTTTTCATTTCGTTTTTTCATATTTTTATACTTTTTTTATTCTTAATTTTCTTTTTGAACTTACCAAAAAAATTTAGTGTAGAAAAAAAAGTAAAAATATTTAATTTGAGATAGATGGAGTATGTGTTATTTTTTTTATTTCAAACACAAAGAATTTTGAATTTTTTGAAACATTGTAAAAATTAAAAAGAGATTTAAAATTTTTTTCTAGGAAAACGAAACAAAGAGATAAAAAATTTCCGAAACGGAGAATGACCAAAGGGGGTGTGTGTGTGTAATGTTTTGAAACCACAAAGACTTTATAAATAAGTTTCGAAAACAAAGAGGGTATTAGTGCTAATTTTCCAAATCACAGGGAACACTGAAGTTATTTGACCTTATGAGATAATGAGGTTGCTAAATACTCCCTCTGTCTCAAATTAATCTTTTCCATTTTTTGAGTTGTCCAAAAATAAATTTGTCATTATTTAAAAATAATGGAATAAGAGGTCTATATATTGATTCTCTCTCGTGTTCATAAATCTCAATTAAATAATTTCATTTTTTCTTAAACTACATAAAAAACAAACAAGAAGATTAATTTGAGACGTAAAGAATACTATTTTAGCAAGTTGAGTTGTGCTATTTTTGTCCTAATTTCTATATATAAAATATTGACATTCTTAAGTATTTTTCTAGTTTTTCTACGTAATTTTACCTTGTACTTTCTAAAATTACGTGAATTGCTTTGAATTTTAAAAATTTTACCAATATCTCTAGATTTTTTAAAAAAGTTGCATCAATTGTTCCTCTTTGCCAAATTTGAGAGTGTGTTAATCCCACGATTATCAACTGTAAGTATAGATTCATCTAAAATCATACTTGGTTCGTCCCTGAGTGTTTGTCCAATTTTGACTTTTGGAATTGTTCATCTAAGCACTTTGGCTCATCAAATTCTCTTAATGTGTAAGCCTAAAAATAGTCATGTGTGATCTTGTTTGATTCGTCTTAACATATAGATTATTAATATATAATTTTTATAATTTTTTAATACTCCCTCCGTCCCACTGTCTTTGTCCACTTACCTTTTGGCACACCATCCAATGCACTTCTTTAATCCATTTTATCTTGTAATTTGTATATTAAAAAATTATAAAAATTATATATTAATAATCTATATGTTAAGATGGATCAAACAAGATCACACATGACTACTTTTTGGCTTACACATTGAGAGAATTTGATGAGTTAAAGTGCTTAGATGAACAGTTCCAAAAGTCAAAAGTGGACAAAGACAATGGGACGGAGGTAGTATACAAATTACAGGATAAAATGGATTAAAGAAGTGCATTGGATGATGTGCAAAAATGAAAGTGGACAAACACTCAGGGACGGAGGGAGTATATCATATATGAGTTATGCAATATGTCATTCTCGTCTCTCGAATAATATTTTTTATATTTTTAACCTCTTTAAATTTAGATAATTATTCTCAATTTAGTTGTCAATAACCGATTTTGAAGATCAGACATTAGTCAATAAAGTTCGTCATCAATCGATCAACTCATTCATCAAACATGACATTTTTATTAATTTTCTAACATGTATATTGATTAGCTTGTGATTAAGGGGCTGTTTGTTTCAGCCTTTTAATGGTTCAGATGTCTGAATGGTTCAGCACTTAATGGTTCAGACTGTTTGTTTCAGCCTCTTAATGGTTCAGATGTCTGAATGGTTAAGAGATTTGCCTCTGAATGATTAAGTATTATACAGAGTCTGAATGATTAAGACCTCTTATCTGAATTGATCAGACATTTGCCTCTGAATAGTTAAGCAATATACTAGCTCTTAATGGTTTAGACATCTTACTGGTTCAGCACTTAATGGTTCAGACCTCTTACTGGTTTAGCACTTACCCATTCAGAAGTTGCCAAACAGCCTCTAAAGCTATTGCCAATAGCCAGAAACTACAATCCGGTCCAGCCCAAAATCAGAAACGCGTCCCCGTTGATTTCGGCAGCCCAATTGGTCACTTTCCTCCATCAACACATTCAACACCGCCTCTGCCCTCCGTTATATAGCCCTAATCGCTTCCACTCTCCCCATTATTCTCCCCACATATCTCCTCTGAGTCTCTCCCTATCAAAATCAAACTATCCATCCGCCATCTTTCCCCTGATCGCCTATCGATTTTCCGTTCTTCAATCGCAGATCTCCCCTCTCATCTTGATATACCGTTCGTCAGTCACAGATCGCCTCTCTCGTCTTCATATTACGCTCAGCAACCACAGATCGCCTTCCCATTCTTAATATTTCCCCCCGACAATCAGAGAGATTTGTTTGTTTGCCGTTGTTTCTGGTAAGTTTTATGTTCTTATTTGATTTTCACCCTAGTGGTTTCGTCTTGCGTGATTAATCGTTTGTTTAGCTATTCAGATCAGGTTTGATTGAATCTGTGGTTAATTTTGTTTAATTATGCGGTTTTGATGGAAAACGTAGCAGCTAATTTCTAAATCCGTGTTTGTTTTGAAGAAATTGAAGCATCTGGTTATTTGTTTACTTCGTGGATTTTTATTTGCTTTTTTTTGCCGGTCAACGATGTTCTTGATATATTCCTAGATCTCGTTTATGCTTTTTTCCATCTCTTGTATAAAGTTTTAATTATCTATTTTAAGTCTTGATCTTATGTTTGCCTGTGTTGATTGATAAGAAGTTTTTAACTTAGCTTCTTCTATGAGTTGATGTATGGTACGAATACCGTCATATAGCCTAATTTATGCTAACAATGCCCTCTTCTGCCTGTTTGTTGACAGATCTATTGTTCGTAAAAAGAGTTTTTGTTGCAATCTTTCTGCCCAATGGCTTCATTGGATATGACACTTGATGATATGATAAAGAGCAGACGTAAAAATGAGAGAGGTAGGGGCCGAGGCAAGCCCCAACGTGGTAGAAGGGCAGGTGGATCTTTTAGAGGTGGAAGACCTGCGGGGGCTCCCCGTGGTGGAGGGCCTCTTGGGGTGAATTCCAGGCCGTCCGCTCACACCATTGCCAAGGCAAGCCTGAAAGATGTCTTATGAATTCCTTAAATCATTCTGATATGCTCTTTAAACAATTGAAGGTTCCTTCTCTCTAGTTTGCTTTAGAAATTCCACCATGAGAAGTTCTGTGACAATATTGGGTCCAAGGAGGTGCCCAATTTGGATCATCATCTATTAAAAGCTCTTGTGCTAAATTGTTCCATGCTATTTGAGGCCACCCTCTTCATGTTTGGTTTGTCATGTGGCGTTCATATGCAAAGTTTGATATGAGTGGGGGAGACAATGGCTCTGCTTTATCAGAGGAATCTCTTCTTGTAGTACCTTAACACTGAGGAGCTTCATATAAGAAACTTTAGGAACTTTCACCAATTAAACAAAACCTAACACCTAGAGAGTTGTATTACTAAGTGATCTCTAAACATCATTATTCAGTAGCAAGTGTTTGATGGATCCTGTTGCTATGGGCGGAATTTCTTGGGGGTCGTGATTTTCAGTTATTATCCCAGTTCATGGCGTTTCGCAAAGGTGGATTTCCTTCGCTGAACATCAGAACTGGAGGTGTTGCTTTTTTTTGCATAAGCATCAGTTGATGTGAAATGGTGCAGTGGGTCAATTCTTCAACGTCCTTCTACACTTGTTTTACAGTAGTTGATTTATCTTTGGTAAAAGTCTTCTATATTGATTTGATCATAAACCACTTCTACTGTCATGAAAATTTGATGATATCTGATCTGTTCTAGAAGAACAGTGAATTTAGATTGCTCTTTCTTAGTATGCTGATTGTACTCACCCACTACTGTGGACATCATTTTGGGTTTTGCTTGCGTCTTCAGTCTTTCCGCAGAGTGAAGAATCTGCCGTGGCAGAATGGTTTATTTGAAGACAGCCTTAGAGCTGCTGGGTTATCATCTGGGTTAGAAACTGGGACCAAGTTATATGTTTCTAACTTGGACAGTGGAGTGACCAATGAAGATATAAGGGTACAGCACGCGTCTGTGTATTTTTAGATACTCCCATTTGCAATAATTAAAGCTAAGAAGACTTGATGGAAAAACGTTAACTGCAGGAACTCTTCTCTGAGATCGGAGAATTGATTAGATATGCAATTCACTTTGACAAGAATGGCTGCCAAAGTGTAAGTGTCTAATCTCATTACATATATATCCTAATGTGTTCTTTACATTATTTATCCCTTTGCAATTGTGCAACTATGTGCTTTCTATTATCTTGACTCTCGAGTGGTGTGCCTTTGCTAAAATATGCTATTGTTGCAACTGCATTTCCATTTTAATTTTTTTTACCTATCAAGTTTGTACAGAATAGTTCCCAATGTATATAGTGCACTTCTTTGAATGTAGTCAATTCAATTTTTCTGAAGATGTGTATTACATTGACATAATGTTGGATTTGAAGTCCATGAGGTCATGAAGTGGATTCTTTCTTGATGATGCATTTTTTATCTGAAGCTTTGTTTTTTGCATTGGAACAGGGTTCAGCTGAGGTTGTTTTTGCTAGGAGGAGTGATGCTTTTCAAGCACTAAAGAAATATAACAACGTGCAGTTGGATGGCAAGCCCATGAATATTGAAATAGTTGGCACAAACCCACAAGTCCCTGTGTTAGCTCGTGTGAATGTTGGAAGGGCCAATGGGAAACGGACAGTTGTCATGAAGTATGCAGGCACCTTGTTTATGTTTTATTGGTTAGTTTGATATTTTCTTCCATTTTGACTTACAATTAATACCATGGTCATATTTGCAGTGGGGCACAGGGATTGGCTCGGCCCAGAAATGGTGGTGCTCCTCCCTCTAATTGGGGTTCTGGGTAAGTTACTTCTTCTCAACGTCTGTGCAATCCATTGCCAAGTTTCCTTCAACAAACAGCCAGAGGAATGGAATTTTGACATTGATGCTCTTATTTGCTCAGCCGAAGAGGTCAGAGCGGCTGTGGTGGTCGAGGCCGTGGCGGCGGTCGGGGACGTGGTGGATTTTCCGGCAGGAAGAAGGGCGTTGACAAGTTGGCAGATCAACTTGACAAGGAGTTAGACAGTTACCATGCCGAAGCCATGCAGACGGAGTAATCTGACACCCACACTCCAAAGGCCAAGAAGAGTCAATCCTCCATGACCAGCAAATTTCTTATTCCGATCCTGTGTTTCAACTAGTAGTGCATTCAATATGGGGGGTATTATTAGTTTGACGAAACGATGTAGCGTGAATGCTTTCTTTCAAGCTTTCTCTTCGAATCTTTTGCCTATCAAATCTTCTTTAATTGAATGGTTCGATGTATATTACTAGTCTTGATGCCAACTTGTAGTATCAGAAATCTGAGGTTTATTATATTGTTGAGATTCGGTAGGAGCATCATATGGCTTAGATTGGTTTTGAAATAAGCGCATCCCAAAGCAAAAGTTTAATGCACAAACGCACAAATTTTTCTCAAGTGTTACTTAAGAATAGTTTCAATTCACAATAGTTACTCTCATCCACACACAAATGGGTTGAAGTTTTGACAAGTCATACACTCAAAAACTCACAATTTTGAATTGGGGAAAAAATAGTAGGGGTGGGATACAAAAGAATACTGTTCTCACAATTACCTCATTAGACAACATCTCTTTTCAATTGCATCTTCCCATTGTCATCTCTCTTGAAAAGCTTTTCAACCAGTTCATCCCAGTTAGTCCTGGCCCTGGTTTTTGAGCCATCTCCCCCCTCCTTTCCATCCCCCTTGACACCTTCCTTCTCAGAAGAAGATGATGATGATGCATCAGCAGATATACTAATCATCATTGTCCCTTCTGAGGATTGTCTGTTGTGATTCCCTAAAGATTCTTCCCCTTGTTCTTCGGTTGTTGAAGCAGCGTGAGGTATATTCAAACTGACTGCTCTTTCCAGTGCATCTTTGTGTTCCTTTTTAATGGTCTGCAGTCTCTCCATCTTCTGTACTTGAGGGGGAGTCGTGACGATGGTCTCAGCACTAACCGCCTTCAGTCTCTGCAAAAGAAAAGCATTGTAACTTCACTTAACCCCAAAATATTACATGTCCTGCAAGGGAAATTGGAAGACATGGTGGGTACATTGACTTACTTCTAATGCCATCTCAGATTCTCTCGAAATCCAAATAATTCCGTGATCAGAAGTGGCATGGCATGACAACACAATGTGCTCAAATCTCCCATCAACTGGGATGGCAGTTCTTACTTGTGGAGGAAACCTCCCACATCTGTGTGTGTAACAACGTACACACAATGTTAGTACAAAAGATCCAAAAACATCGAATCCAAAATGTCCCAAATGCACACAAGATCTCTCACATTAATACATGTTATTGTTAAATAAACGTAACAGGTATATATATTTATATATATATCTACCTGCAGAATTTTCTTTCTACGATGTGATACATTCGACCTGGTGCGTATAGTCTTCTGGGATCCCTGAGCTTTCTATCTTCAGGGATGAATGTATCCCTCAAGCACACTAGAAATAACAAGCATGGCAAGCTGTTTAAAGCATTAATGTCTGGTTTGATATGAGAAGAAAGAAGATAGGTTTAAAAAGAGAATGTAGATTGAGTAGAGAAGAAGATTAACTAACTCACCAGAATATGGATTTGAATATATCTTCCAATGGGGTGGCTGTTCTTGGCAAGAAATCGTCCTAAACAAGCAGTGATTAAAGGAGGAATCGGTAATGGAATGATCGAATCTAATTGCGATTATGTTAATTGATTGATTGACTGATTTTAGCTGGAAGAAATCGATGTCACCTGTAGGACGACGGAGTGGATGACGTCGGCGTACTTGACGGCGAGGTTGAGAGACATACACCGAGCTGGAGCCACCGCGTAGCACGCGATCAGATCCCTCGGAATTCCGCCGAACTCTTGTCGGTGGTTGACAAGGATGACCGTGAGCAGCGACGCGACGCCGGATCCCAATGAATGGCCGGCGAAAACCATCTTGTAGCGCCTCCCGTTCTCCTCCCAGAGCTTCCTCAGAGTCTCGGATTCTCTGTTCAACAACCACTTGGCCGACGTCAGGAGGCCGTGGTGGACGTAGCCGCCGTCGAACATCTGCTTGCCGAGGCTGTTGTTGAGGAGGACCTTGTAATCGCTCTCCCTGGCCAAATTGAGGCCGCGGATGGCGAGGACGATCTCGCCGTGGTCGCGGTCGAGGTAGATCAGGTACGGCGGCGCGTTGCCGAGAGTCTCCTGGTAGGTGACGCGCTTGATCACCCAGTCGGGGTTGAGGCGGTAGCCGCCGGGGGGAGGAAACTTGGGCTTGCGGAGGTCCTCCTCGTAAACGGCGAGGATGATACGGCAGACGCGAGGGACGGGGTCGAATTCCTCGCGCGTGGCGTCCGGCCAGGCGGCGCTGTCGTCGTTTCCGGTATAGGTGCAGCGCTTCCAGGCCCACCGGAAGCACCCCAGCACAAACACGCACTCCACTCCACACGCCACTGACATTACACAAATCGATCTTTTCTCTTCCTCAAAATTGCAATGATTTTACAGGTATAAACAAAAACTGATGGAGCTGAATTGAAGAAGACGAATAAAATGAAGGAAAAGTGCAATGGAGAGAGAGAGGTTGAATCGCCTGGCGCTGGCAGTGGGACACAAAATCTCATTCAGACCAATTGCACACTACACAGATTACTGGAGTTTTATTCCATCCTCCCTTCACACGCCATTTACATTTCTTTATTTCTTTTAGGTAATGTTTGAGAATTATTTTCTAGAATTCATTTGAAATCTTACGTCTTAATTTAAATTTGAAATCTCATAATTGCATTTTTTCATTATTATTTAAAAAGTTATACTCCGTGGAATTTAAATTTTAAAATTTAAAATTTGAAGTTGGTAAAGACATTGACGTGATCAGGTTAATATGTATGAAATTCTTAATACATAAGAAGCGATCACTCTTTAATTACAAGATATAATTTTAAAAAATTGGGCTTATATTTGTAAATGACATAGAGAGGGTGTGAATTTGTATTTAAGTTAATTTTGAATTAGAAAATTTTGGTCCAAATCCAAATGCTTTGAGTTCTCAAATGAGTAATTCGGATCAATTTCGAATCTGAAATCTAAATTCAAGTTTCCAATATACGGAATTAGAATTCGAATTGGAAATGAAATTTTATGGAATTGAATTCGATGGAATGAAATTTTCCAATTCCAAATCACTTATGTTTGTGTTAACAAATACCAGAATTGAAATTGAAGTTTTCAATTCTAATTTCATGAGGTTGAAAGGTGTGCAGCGGGAAGGGGCAATGAGAAACACCACCTAGAGCGAGAAAGGAAGGGGAACCCCCCCTCCCCATGAGGGAACGGGAAAGGGAGGTTCCCTTCCCCGTTTTTCCCGTTGTGTTCCGCGTGCGTGCCAACCTGCATTTTTCATCGTTGAATGGCCATTTTCCTTTTTTTATTTTGTATTCCAGTTAATAGTAAAAAAGTTCAAAAATCCTTATTTAAACACCTCTCACTCACCATTTTAAACACCTCCCTCCTTCAATATCATCTATATTCTTCATCTATATTTTAAAGACCTTTCGCCATAATATTATCACCTTCATTTGATACGATGACGACTTCTTCTTCAGATGAAGCCAAAACTTTCTTCTTCAGATACACCAACCGCTCATTCCATCACCGCAGTCATCCCTTAGGACTTCTCAGAATTTTTTGTTCTAGGCTGTAAACGTACCAGTAGAACTAGAAAACTTTTGAAGAGAAAAACTCCTTCTCATCCCCCCTTTTTGAGTCTCGAGAAGACATGTAAAACTGGGATCTCGAAGACTCCCTTGGAGGGAAAAGTCCTTGAGGAAATGGTGAGGGTCTGTCTCCTATGATGAAGAGGAAGTCTCTCGTCGTTCTCCCCTCTACACTGAAACTGAGCAAATGGAGATCATTGAAAAGGTTCCTTTGCATCCCTTAGTAACCAAAAGTAGGTAGCCAGAGGAGCTATCAAAATAAGGGGGAAACCATCGAAACATATGCTATCTTGAAAAAGGTTAAAACAGGCTACTCCAATAGTTTCCACAAACCAAGATGGAGAACTCCCAAGGAAGCCATCGAGACCTTGGAGTGACTTTCTCTTTCAAAATATCCGCTTATCCCCCATACAACCATGTATTTCACTATGAGTCTCTTAATCATTTCATGCTAATATGACCTTGGGGTTCGCGAGGCCTTTAACTACGACCACTAAGTTTATAGTGGACACAAAAAGAGGATCCTAACCACCAAGCACACCCTCCAAAGTGGTCTTCACGATGAGCCCTAATCAGGAATCGGATCCCAACCAGTCCGGGCTCACTCCTTATAAATTCAGAAAAACCAAAACTAATCTAAATTGACATCGAAGAACACAAGAAAACCCGCGACTCGGTCGCCATTCCTTTGACAATTAGGGGTGAGAAAAAAACACCAATCAACATTGTTCTCAACCAGAATGACATTGTACTAAATAAAAAACGAGTTTTCAAATGGGATGAGTAAATTTTAACTCGAATCGAACTAAAAGATTTTCAAAAGGGTACTTGATGGTTTTCTAAAAAAATTAAAAAAATCAAAGCAAACCGGCACCACTAAAATGTTAATTTAATAAATTAAGTACATATTTCATTTGTTTTTTTACTCCGTAGCAAGTCTAAGTCATATTTATTTAATTGACTTTAACATTCTTACACTTAAGTTTTTTTAGTATCTTATTACCTTAGAGTACAACTCAAATAATTTTTTATTTGTTGGAAAATTAAAATATAATTATGTTTTGTATAAATTTGTAACTAAACAATATACTTGTTAAGTAAAAATGTATAAAAATATTGGTGCACTAATTTTTGTTAATTACATTGACTTTTTATGAATAAAAAATGTCTTGAAAGCATGTAATTTTATAATATAGTTGACATCTGTATGACATGATATTTTTGTATTTTCGAACAATATGATACTAAATGAGTTTAAACGAAAATCAAAACCATACATGATTGTTTGAATATTAACAATATGGAACATATTTTTAAAAAAATTACGGACTATCAAACTCTTGGAGCATTTTCAGTGGGAGTATTTTTCCATCGTGTCTGATGGCGTAAATTACCACGCAAATGCTAAGTATAAGTAATCGGAAGGGTTGTAGGTGGAAACACCTGTAACCCGGTTTGTTCTTTATTATAAATAGGACTAAAAGCCTCATTTGTGCGGCATGCTTTAATTAATCCACACGGCCTGTACTTTGTAATAGCTCCTATTATCATTAATAACAAACCGGGTTACAGGTGTTTCCACCTACAACCCTTCCGATTACTTATACTTAGCATTTGCATGGTAATTTACGCCATCAAATTGGCGACGACCGTGGGACCTCTTTCCAAAAAGAAGCCATGACGAAATACAATAACGCCCTGATCCCGGGAGGAATCACATCATTACCTTCTCTTTTCTCCCCCATGATCACCACCTTTACTACTCAAACAACGCCGAGTCAAGCCTTCCAAAACTTTGGACAATTTATGCCCATGTTCCAACAAGCTGGGGGATTTACTCTTTTCCTCCCTGGAATGTATCCCCATGCTTTGGCTCAAAATACATTTCTTCCTAACACGTTGGGGCATCCCCCGTCATTTCAACCGTCCAAAACCACCCGGTCGGTCAGCCCGACAAAACCACCCGGGGAGCTGGAAAAGGCATGCCCTTCTCGGTCTAGGAGGAGCAGATCCCACAAGCTCCACACTCAGGTCACACCCGACGGGGGCGTGCGCTCTGTGCGTAGCAGGGATGAACACTGGGATATTCCCAGGGGCCAGAAAAAGCTACAGGGCAAAGCTGTCCAGCCGGAAGATTCACGATGGTCAGTGTTCCAGAGGCTTGGACACGAGGGGCGGAACCAGAACCGACCGGCCAAGGAGCGATTGGGGGTGAAGGTTCCCAAGCCAGGCAAATTCTACTGGCTAGAAGGTGGTAGGCAACCCGGTCAGATCAGGCGCTTTGACCCTCGCCTCCGTGATGAACCCCAACACAGCAAGGTGCCTAGAGCGGAGGGCCAGACGGAAAGCCAGCCTAGAGTAGCGATGCGCACGCATGCTGAACCATCCAGCAACCAGGTGGACAAAGCGGAAGAACGTTTGGAGAGGCTCTTGAAGAGAGTTCATATGGAGGAAAAGAAGAAAGTGGTGTTGAACAACCATTTTATCATCCGCTAAGACCGGATATGTACCGTGCCAATGTTCAATAAAGTTGATACTTTTTCAGAAAAGATGGTAAAACCGGTCGGGGAAGGTTGCAGACCCATCTGCCCGATCAGTGTTCAATCGAATTGAACATCACAAAACCACCCGGGCAGAACACCATACTTTTTCAGAAAAGATGGTAAGACCGGTCGGGGAAGGTTGCAGACTCATCTGCCCGGTCAGTGTTCAATCGAATTGAACATCACAAAACCACCCGGGCAGAACACCATACTTTTTCAGAAAAGATGGTAAGACCGGTCGGGGAAGGTTGCAGACCCATCTGCCCAGTCAGTGTTCAATCGAATTGAACATCACAAAACCACCCGGGCAGAACACCATACTTTTTCAGAAAAGATGGTAAGACCGGTCAGGGAAGGTTGCAGACCCATCTGCCCGGTCAGTGTTCAATCGAATTGAACATCACAAAACCACCCGGGCAGAACACCATACTTCAATCGAATTGAACTCAAAAAAAGATAAAAGTATGTGACACAGGCCCGGCCTGGTACGCTGGTCTCGCACCAGTCTTGCACATATTAAAAAAAACTGCGACCCAGTCGAACTGGTACACTGGTCTCACACCAGTATTGCACATATTTTCCAACAATCCTGAGCCCAATCGAATTCGGTACACCGGTTGCACATCAATTTCAGCAAAAAAAAGAGCCCGGTCGGACTGGGAACATCGGGCTTACCCCGATCTTCGATATCTTTCCTTGAACACTTTTTCACATGGGCAAGGTCATGGTGAACCAACCTACCCAGGATAAATAAAAAAGACCAAAACTGCCCACCCGATCAAGATTCAGACTCGAGTGAGTGACGGGGTCACGATGCATTGGCTTAACATGGCTCGGAGGACTTTTTCAAGCATAGGTTCCCCCGTTTGCATGGCCGAGGTCATGAAAGGAAAGAGTTGATTGTCTTGCTCACTCGGAGGACTAGAGCTCTTGTTCACTCGGGTGAAAGAAAAATGACTCACATGATCAACCGGGTGGCTTATTTTCTACTCAGGTAGAAAGAATGGTGAGATGCGCTAGACCGAGTAGATTCAGCTCGGTCGTGAACAAAGAGATTGAGAGTTCAAACGGCGGGGGTCAAAATCCTGCACCCGGTTGCTCAAGATCCCGTACAGCCCACAGTGCTTTTGGTACTGATCGGTCCCAAACCCAAAGATCCCAATGTCATCAATCAGTTGCTGGGACACTTAGAAGAACCGGATGCCGACCTCCCGGTCAGAAAGTGCCTGGACAGTGAACTTCTCCGGTTCCTGCGCAGCCCAAGCAACGGCGTGAACAGCCCGGTCGGAGCGCTCCGTCTCCAGCTCAGCCTTTAGCTGGGCATTCTCCACCTCTAGCTCGCCCGTCTGCCCGGCCTTCATCCGGAGCTTCTCATCTGTTAAGCACCTGACCAGCCGGGTGGCCCACTCCTGCCCGATCGGGGAAGAGGAAACAACGCGATGACTAGGCGGCGTACCAAGTTTCCGTAAAAACTTTCCCGCCAACCATACCCAAGGATTCAAAAAATTCAAAATTATTCAGACACTTGATTCCCGCCCTTGGTGGTGCCCACAAAGCCGAGAATCGGAGGACTCCTTGATGGATATAATCCACTAGTACCACCCGGCAAGTTCACAGGCGCCCGGGGGTACCAAATTCTGGCCCGCCTAACGTCATCAACCCCGGTAGACTGCCCGGGTGGATGTCGGGGGTCAGACATGTGAGATCGTGACTTCGTTCGCATAAGGCTTAAAGTCTGACCAGGCTTGACCTCACCGTCCCCGTTAATCTTCCCGGGTGGATGACTTGAAGACTGCCCGGGTGGATGGCTTGAAGACTGCCCGGGTGGATGACTTGAAGACTGCCCAGGTGGATGGCTTGAAGACTGCCCGGGTGGATGACTTGAAGACTTCCCGGGTGGATGACTTGAAGACTGCCCGGGTGGATGACTTGAAGACTGCCCGGGTGGATGACTTGAAGACTGACCGGCCGGAAGAAAAGTAACGTCGGGACGTGCTTGACGTGCTTGTTCTTCATTATAAATATGACTAAAAGCCTCATTTGTGAGGCATGCTTTAATTAATCCACACGGCCTGTACTTTGTAATAGCTCCTATTATCATTAATTACAAACCGGGTTACAGGTGTTTCCACATACAACCCTTTCGATTACTTATACTTAGCATTTGCGTGGTAATTTACACCATCAGTGTCAGTCGCCCATTGCAGGAGTAGTGCTTGAACTTCAGCCGAAGCGCAAGTCACAAGTGTGGCGCTGCATTGGTGTCCAACTGTGGCACTTTTTGATGGTCGGTTTTCTATTGTGACGGTCCGCCACACCGCTCCTACCTTTTTTTATTTTTCAACTAAATAAATTCAACACATCTTCAACCCCAATTCATCACTCTCATTCCTTATCTCTCTCAATTCACTCTCATCTCACTCAATTCACCTTATCTCTCCATTTTCTCATTATTCAAAATGAATTCCAAGGGCAACAACTTTAACTTTGATAATTCAAACTCAATCCCGTCATTCTATTTGCAAACTTTAGTTCTTTTCCCATCGACTACTTTGCCCCGTTCTTGGTCTCCAACAATAGCCTCTATCGATTGTCGACTGTTAATATGACCGACTACAATGTTTCTGAGTTAGAGCCCATGAGTGAGGGTATTAACAAAGGGAAGGCTAAAAAGACTGATGGTTTGAACAAGTATACTCAGGCGGAAAGTCTGACATTGGTGAAATACTACGTCTACGTGTCGGAAGACGTCATCATCGCCAACTACCAGAAATCCAAAATAATGTTATGGAGTGTGTTGTTATGAAGTACAATACCGGGAGGGTCGATGGTACGCCCGTACATGGTGTAGAGATGCTTCGAAAATCCTAGATCTGTGTGCAAGTGAAAGTCCAGAAATTTGGTGGCTTATAACAAGACGTGGCCCAATGGATCCTCTACCGAAGACATTATGTCAAAGGAGTTGAACCTTTTTTATGAAGCAGAGAAGATGGTTTTCAGGTTCTTGGAAATCTAGAAAATTCTACAAAAGGAACCCTAAATTCAGTATCGTGGCAGAGTTCGAAACGATCCAAACTCTTCGAGACTGGTTCGTACTCGACGAGTGAGGGCATACATTCCATTGATCTCAATGCTATGAGGGACGATTTCCCCCATGGATCAGGCGACGAACCTAGCGGTTATAGCCGCCCGACCGGGTCAAAGGAGAAGGGAAAGGCCAAGACAAGAGATCCTAACATGTCACCCCATCTGATAAACTTACTTGAAAAAAAAAGGTAAATTTCACAATTATTCTTCTTACCTTTGACTTACCACCTAGAGTGGCTCTTACAGATCGTACCTATGCAATTCGATATTTCGATCGGTCCCGTCGAAGTTTAAAATCATTGCTTTGAAGCCGACCTGTGTGAGTCCTGACCCCACTCTGCCCCACTCCAACGATAGGACGAATCGAATTCTCTCTCCCTCTGTTGGCTCATCAATGTTTGCGCCAAGTAGCAGGAGTACAAATTAGCCAGACTCCCTCTCTTCCCCCCATCCCCCCCGTAATCTCCGCGGCGGAGCTCCTCCACACAAATCAGCGCCGCGCCGCGCCTGCATTCTCCGGTGTTGCCTATGTAACCCGAGTCGAGTAACTTAGGTTAGTTTTCGTTTTCGTAGTAGTTGAGGAGCCAGCCGCCGTGTCCATCTGTAGTAGTTTGGAGAATCGTGGCTGAGAAATGGGCCGAATTTCCGCTCCGGTTGACGCATCTGCCAAACAGGAGGGTGAATCCGAGGGCGCGCTGTGGTCGGAGGAACACGAGCGCCTTCCATTAAAACAGCGTATAAAATTGCTCTTGGCTAGCAATCGCTTTCCCAAATCCGAATTGGGAATGGCTGTCATTTCCGAGTGAGTTTTTGAATTCCCTATAGATTTGTTTCCTACTGTATTCTGCAAGCCTGCTCTACTGCTTGCATGAAGCAAGGCTTTGCCTTGATTTTGGCACTCCTATTTTTGAAGAGTTTGGTTCTTATTTGAATGTGGTTTGTGCAGACCTCCAGCTAATGTTTTTGTGAAAAGTTACAACAGCCAATGCTACTCACAGGTATATCATGAGTTCCATTTTATAGTAGCCAGATAACTTTTTTTTCTGTCATTGGCATATTTGTTTTTCAATTGGCCATTTTAAAGCCAAATTGATCATTTGATTGCCTCCACCCCATTTTTTCCATTCACACTCACTACACACAAGGGCTCGTTTGCTATCTTATGTAGTCGTATGCCAAGGAAAAACACGGGGATGCAATTTTGGGGCACAAACCTGCACAAACCTATTATTCATTGTCATAGTTATGGTTGAGTTGTCCTCATGTTTTATGTTCATTACATAAACTAACCTATATAAGGTTAGTTCATAAAATAGCTTGATAGTTTGCTCGTAGAGCGGGAAATCAGTTTAAATTCTTGCTGTATACCCCGGAGTTTAATATTCATCTCTTGAACCAATAATGGAATTTTTTAAACCGTAAAAAAGGACAAGATGTTACACTCATGAACTCTTAAGTGGAGGCTTACATTAACAACTTAGTAGATAAAAATTCTTTTTCTTTATATACGGAGTATAAATTTGGTACTCCTGAATCCTAACTCTAAGGATTTGACATGTGGCTTGTCTATGTGCATTAATTTTTGACAAGTAGGTTGTCATGTATTTATTTAAGCCAATTAAACAAATCACAAGAAAATAAGTTTTTGTTCAAAACTTATGGAAGGCAATATATTTATTATTTATTAATGACAAACTAGAATAAGGCCTCGTTTGACATCACCGTTTGAGTTTTACGTTAGCGTTTTAAAAATGTTATCTGATGGTAACTTTTAGCGTTAGCATTTTCAGAATTAATCTACATCATTGGACTTATTGATGATTTAGATTAGACGATATCATGGGTAAGTTTAAGCTTCGGTTTGATCACCTATACTTTGTTGATAAAAAACAAACAATTTATTATTGACTTAT